TGTAGGGCTAGTTGGCCTTGCTTTCAATGAAATGCTTAAGCTGTAGAAGGGTCTCATTCTGCAACCCTCTGATGGTGCTGTTGGAAACGGGCCGTGGACGCTGACGTTCTGCTGCAAAGTTCCGTACAGCACCATCCAATCTAATAGGGCATTGCCACGCTGTAGAAGGCGGCAGCTAGCGAAGACTGACGTCCGCATTGCTTTCACCGTATCATCCGGTGTGCTGGTGACAAAGCCATGGTGAATCAGGTATGAACAAAGACTGATCTCTGACCTCTCAAGATAGGGAGCCTTTCCGTTTCGGGACGCAACGGTCAGTGTGCAGTCGTTGGTTCGCGAAGGGCCTTACGAAGAATTCGTCATTAAGATGGAAATAGGTACCTAGCTTGACGGCCAGCCACAATGACTCGAAATGCCGTCGATTTTGCTGGCTAGCTGCTGCTTTGTCCCAACATCTCTCAGACCGGCTGACGGCACGGTGGTAGCTTCGCCCACGTGGAGAGCGCCACGATCGACGATGTCTCCGAGCTGGTGGTGAACGGGTGCTCGTAGGATGGAATCAAAACTGAGACGAAGTCGACGGCGGCGTGATGTCGTCTGGAGTGTGGTCTCCTATGGGTTTGAGATGGGACGGGGCGATACTTTCCAGCGCCGCGCCGTCTGCGAAATTCGTGGTTCCGACTGCTCGGTGCCAAGCCACACGCCAGAGACGACTCTATGGAAGTTGGCTGTTGGAATGAATCGTTGGACTGGACGAGACCACGCGGTGATGAGAGACCTAGCCAAACCTCGGCGACGAAGCTCAGATCGATTTTGACCGACCCCAGTTTTAGACAGCCACCTTACAATTAGGCACAAGCTGTGCCGTCGTTTGAAGACCCAGACGGGATAGTACGGCCGTACCGAGGTGTCTGTTGGAGGATCTGGATGAACGCTGATTAGCTACCAGGCCTGCCAAAGCCCGGAGGATGGGAGACGTAGAAGCCTAGAAGGGTTAAAATGCATAATGAAGGCATAGTCTGGGGGAGGAGACTCATGAATCTGCAGTGCTGCGGTGCATGCTCCGAGATGAACTTGGTTGGGTGCGGTCGACCGGAGCGAAGCAGTAGGTGCCAGGAGCCTACGAATAGGAGGTCGGGACCTAAAGAGAAGGAGGCCACAGGGCGGGAGGTTTCTGGTGGTGACAACGAAGCACGAAGGGTGACATTGAAAATGGGGAATTTACCCACATTTACCCCAAAACTGCACCACTCATTCCCCAGGACCCAGGTGCCTGTTCCTGCCTATCCCAAGCGGGGGGAAGTGGGGCTCTCTTCCGAGCATCGATACGTACCGCACAGATATCCGTATCTCTTCTGGGAATCGGCAACCACCAAGCTTTTCGAGTCAAACACGCCGGCCTTCCAAGAGTCCAACCATGGCAAAGCCAACACGCGGGTCCCATCCATAGGGCCTAGCCCAAGCTGGAAAACGGGTGGACTGTTTGTCTTCATTCACCAGCTTAATTTACCGGCTTATGCCGTGCCTCCGCGACTCTGGTTGCCTACTTCGCCTTTCTTTGAGCTCTTCGTTGTCGTTGGCCAGCCTCAATCCTCGGTGCTGACCTTTTTTTTTCTTTCTTTTTTTTTTCTTTGTGCCGAGGCGGATCATAACCTCGATCATCCTGTTATCATATTCCAGCGGTGAAAAAGCTTGGTATGGAATCCGGACAAGAGGGTTGCCTCCGAGGCTGGTTGCCACTGACGGCATCGAATCATGTTACCTTTGCCTCCAACAGATCCGAGGTCTTGGTGCCGGCGGTCCATTGCCTCTGAAGGGGGTCAAATTGTGTTTCATCGATCGCAGCGCTCCCAGACTGCTACCTTGGACGGACTTGAGGGCGTTTTCCCGGCTGACCATGGCCTCGGGAGTGGCTCTTCCCCCTAAATGCCCAGAGGTTCCTCGACCAGGCCTCTCGTCTTGGCTTCTCGTGGGCAGGTGCTATACGGTCGAACTCTAACATATTGTTGGTATACGACCCTCCGCCACAAAGCGACGGATCTATGGATCTGGATGACTCAACAAAGTAAAGGTGGGCAGATTGCGGAGAAACACAAAGAGGCCCAGCGAATTGGTGACATGGAGAGAGCCCTATCCCAACTTTTTTCACTAATGCCTTTATCAAAACCCCTCACTTTTCCATATAGTCTACGGATACAGACAACTACAGCAGTTTCAGACCACACTAGTCACAAAATGTCGACAGTCAACCACACCTGCTCTCTTACCCCAGACTTGCCTGCTTCAAGGGTCTGCCCTTGATGCGCAATATGCGTGATCGAAGGAGCTGAACCTGGCCGTCCATTCGGGGTTCTCGTCTGTGCGTTCCTGTCAGAATTAACATGAGCCGCCACAACGCCGCGGAGGAGAACTTTCCCCTGTCGACTCGGCCAGGGCGGTGGTGTCGATGCCCTTTTCAGCCATAAAATTCGAGCGGATACCTTACGCACTCTGATATAGTCCTCTCTGCTGGCCAGCTGGGTGGTGACGACTTTGTCCGACCTCCTTGTGGCTGGCTCTGCCTGCTCTGGTGGTCTCGTCGACTGGCGGCCTGGGCATCATACAAAAAATATGAACGAAAGGAAGGAGGAGAATACTGGCCTTGTAATTCACGCCCCTGCCCGGACTCGAACAGCGCGCCCCTCAGTCAACCCGAACTCTGACTTCATGGGACTATTTGTTTATTTGACAATTCGACCACCTCGCACACAGCTTGACCTGACCTCGCCGACCTAGACGGGCGCTGCTGTGCTGGTGACGGGAATGGGATTGAGGGGGGGTATATACTCCTGGCCCGACTGGGTAACGTAGATTGAGGAAGGAGGGACGTAGAGGTGGGGAGGAACGGCCTGGATGGTAAATGCTCAAGATCGTGACCCATAGGGGCGCATCTACCTTGGTAGCTTCTTCGCTCGTCGCAGCCGCCTTCACATCATTGTCCACAAATCACTACAGACCCAGACAAAGGTTAATGAAGAGCGAGAAGGAGAAGCCATCGCTCCGTATCCTGGTTTCTAGGCCAAGAAAAGCCTCGTCCAAGTTTGAGAGTGACCAGAGCCACTTTGGTGGCAAGAAACAGATATAGGCAACAGAGAACCCCCCTCGCTCAACTTTCATCTATGCAGTCTCTTGTCTTGTAATTCAGCCACCACGAAAAGATGGGACACATACGAGCCAACTGCCTCATTGGGTGGCTGGTCTAATCAACGTACCGCTTTCTTGACAGCGCTAGCGTCTGGGGTAATACATAGACCCGAACGGTTCTTGTCGGGAAAGGAGGGCGATGGCTCCTATCAGGGGTGCGTACGCCACCACGGCGGCATTCGCGAAATTTGCGCATTTCCTCCGAGGACGCTTTGACGGATGTAAGCTGAATCGGTGATATTCTCTGGGGGTAGCAATTCAATGTTCCCCTCTGTCTGGTCCAGCCACGCGGGATAGACAGGAAGACCATAGTTAGTTACTGAAGGAGGCTAGAGGTAGCATGAGCTTGCTTGAAGGGATCCAAAGGAAGCCGAGAGAAGCCCGGGTGGGCAGAGCTGTCGTCACATTTCACATTGCGGCGAAGAACATCTATTTCCTAGGTGTATTTGGCCATGGCGAGTCCGAATCTTTCAACATACTCTTGTATCCAGGCCTGTTTTTCTGTAAGTCTCTTCGGCTTGTCGTCCCGTCATGCCCAGCTGCCAGGGGAACGCAACTTGGCGTTCGAACAGAAACCACTGATCTTTGGTCAAGGTAGAGAGGCACGGCTCGGTTGTTTAAACTGTTCTGGGCAGGAGGACGAGGCGGACTACTCCAGTCGATTTGTAAAGATGTCAATCGCCGAGGCCAAGCAAGCAGTCTGACTTTCCACTCGAGACATACTCGTCGTCGGTCGGTTGACCGTTGATCTATACTCTACCCTAGCACTATCTGGGTCTTCTGGAGTCTAGACCAGCCGCAAGCCAACTTCTGAGTGAATTTTAGCGCTCAGTGAAGGTCAGTCTCTCTTTCGGCGAATCTAAGCCTGGTTCAGTATGGTCGAAGCAGTGGCGTCGCGATAGTCGGATTATGCCTTAGTCGTAGTATTGCGATCGTTGTTCAATCTTGAGGTCAGTCTTTCTATCGAAGGAAAGTCGAACGGGAGATAGCTTGCCCAAAGCAAACTGATATATTGATTTTCCGTATCATGCATTAAAGTAAGGTAAGTTGGGATCGAACGTTTTCAAGCCACAATTGAGGTACGAGATGGATAGTATTACCGATCATCCTTTTGACTGACACCGTCAGTCTTTAGCCCTCATCTGGAATCCAAGGTCGACTTATGCCTGCCAGAGTTCATTAGAAAGCAATAGCTGTTCAAGGTTTTGGCTAAACTTGTGGCTTTCGCGATTCGAAATACTGAAGTAGGCTTTGTCCCATGTCTCATCCGAGGCCATCGAAGCGGCAGGTACCGCTTCTTTGGAGCATTCTCCTGGAAGAGGACAGAAACGACATGTCATCTCGAGAAGTCACAACGGCAGAGGAGCCTGCTTCATCACTGTTGAGTCTTTGTGGGATTCGGCATCGTCTCATTATTCGGTTTCGAGGTTGAACGAGGGCGGCTTCCATGGACACCTTCTAGTAGCTTGTTCGTCGCACCAGGGAGTCTTTGCTTGTTGGCTTCTAGAAACCTACCCTTCCATCGATGGAGAATTAGATCTGGACCGTTCCAGCTTTGTTGAAACTTCACATATGTCGAAGGCTAGAAGATGCGCGAGCAAGCTTTGTAGATACAAGCAAGTTAAAAATAAGAAGACTTCATCAACAGACAGCCTCAAATGAAACCCATAATTTCCAAGTATTCAGAGCATGAGCAATCTTGATCTTGAATCCTGTCGAATGGCGGATAATCACGCATCTTAGTATCCTCGTCACACCCCTCCCAGATAATATCTGAACTCTCCACGAGGAACGGTACAATGCCACGAGGCCACAGAATGTCGAAACGCGCGTCCAAACGCAGACACGCAAGCCCAGAACCGGACTTGAGTCTCACAGAAGGGATCCCCATCATCAAGGCCCGTCGATACCCCCCGCGAAAAGACGTCGAATATCACGTAACAGGAAGACACCGGTCGTTGTATGAACACCATCCTCCCCCTCGTTCCCCCAAACGCCACCGACACAATCAGCACATCGAAGCCAAGTCGAACACAGATGGCGATCTGAAGATGATCCCCATGCCACCAGATTCGCCCTCGACAGCCCTCGTTCTCAGGACATCAGGAACACCGGGCCATAAGAAAGACAACCGAAAGAACGACGACGACAGCTACCTGGACATCGTGAGACGCCGCCGAAAACCTAAGCATAAGCCCGGCCTCGAGCTGAATCTCGAGCCCGTGATCCACAGAGCCTCGAAACGTCGCCGCAGCATCATAGACGATACCGGACGCGAGATACATGAGCAGCAACAGTGCAGCGACCTCGTCGTCGACAACTACCGCTTCCGTAATCGCATCCTGTCCCTCCTGGACGAGCAACGCTCATCGGTCGAGTCGTGGGCCCGCAGCGTCGGCGCGGGAGGCCCGGCTGAGCCGATGGACTGGCAGCCGGAGCAGGAGCGGGTCGTGTACATTGCCCGCGACCTCGTGGAGTACGGGTGCTACGAGGACCGGTGGAGAATCGGGGGTGGGCAGGAGGAGCAACCGCGGCAGCAGCTGGAGGGCAGGCCGACAGCCCAGCTCTCGTCGGAATTAGTGTCGTGGGCCGATCAGGTAGAGGATGGGTCGGACATGTGTGGGGCGCCGGTACTTGGCTTAAGTCTTGTGGATGTGATTGAGTGAAGCGGGGGTTGGGCTGCATGAAGTCTAGACGTACATGATGGGGAAAGGAGTTCGTGAGCTTCTATTGACATTCGATAATGGAGGTAGTCGGAACCAGACGGAGTGTGAATGATCGCATATCAGGATGGATGTTAGTCACTGCGAGAGGTAGTCACCACGAGGGGGAACAATATGAGGCAGCAAAAAGCGCAACTACTACTCCTATTCAAGTCTATAAGCCCATTAAACATGTCATTTTCACCGCGAGGGACTTTTTGAATACCTATATGGGTTAACATGCAAGTTTTGAACTAGACCAGTCCTAAATTCCTAACGCCTGTCCAGATGAAGTCCGACCGACCGTACCCATTGAAGCAAAAGTCAAATCTCGTGGGAATCTCGCAAATGTACAGATTCAACCGCTCACCCACCACTCTTCTTTACGCAACGCATACAATACTTTTTTCTCCCATTTCTTTTTCAAATTTATTTCGCATAGCGCGAGTACTCGGCAGCGACGAGGCAGTGATCACGCTCGAAGGGCTCTGTGATAGTGTGTTAGTCATGGGAGGGTTTCCACTTCCAGAGAGGAAAAAGGGGGTTACGAACCTAGCGTAAGCTGCTCCTTGGGAGTGATGCGCTCTCCTCTCAGCTTCTCGACCTCCATGGCGAAGACCTTGTGAGCGGGGGCGGTACTGTCGATACAGTTGGCCTTGATAGAGATGAGGATACCACCGCCGACCTTGAGGAACTGGTGGGCGTTCATGGCGACGATACGGGCCTGGTCGGGCTGGGCAACATCGGCGAAGATGCAGTCGACCATGGGCATGAGCATGCGGTACTTGAGGGGTTGACGGGCGTCCTCGACAATGGGGACGACGTTGGTGCGCTTGGCGGCCATGCCGATCAGATCACGGCCGGAACGGGGGGAGAACTCGACAGCGTAGACGAAGCCGGTAGGACCGACAATATCGGCGACGTGGGAGACTGAGGTACCGGAGGCACCACCGAGGTAGAGAACCTTGGAGCCGGGGCCGAAGTAGAGCTTCTCGAGACCACCGATGACGGCGGCGGCCAACTTGGAGCGGAAGGGGTTCCACACGCGGTACTCGATCTTGGTGGTTGTGGTGGTGCCGTCCTCGTTCTGGGTTTGTTTGTCGACAGAGACGCGCTTCTCGCCGTAGACGGACTCGCCGGGGACAATGTTGCGGGTTGCGATGGCGTCCTCCTTGCCACGGACAACGAAGACACCCTCGTGACGGTGGGGCTCCTGCGATCTTTTGTTAATGGACAAATCCTTACCGCGAGAAGAAGAAAACCCTTGAGTTGTGACATACCACGATGACCTTCTGACCTCCCTTCTGACCGCCAGCAGCACCACCACGGCCGCCTCTGCCGCCCTTGGAGACACCTCCACGGCCACGGCCACCGCCAGGACCACCGCGACCACCGCCTGCAGGATCATCTTAGCATACTCATTCTTTCGCACTCGACATCGCGAAAAGCAGATTCTCTCAAGACTTACCACGACCACCGCCGCGTCCACCGAAACCGCCGCGGCCACGGTCACCACCGAAGCCTCCACGGCCACCACCACGGCCGCCGAAGCCACCGCGGTCACCACCACCACGTCCACCGCCGAAACCACCACGACCGCCGCCACGAGGAGTGAAGGGAGCCATTGTCTTTTAAATGTGTGTCGGGTAGTCGGAAAAGACTAGTTGTTGCAAAAAGAAAGAGCACAAGACTGGCAGTTCCCAAGTTGCGAAAGAAGAGTCGAATTGGGGGTGAGAGGCGCAGATAATGCTAATCCTCTTGGTGGCGGGTTGGGACAACTGGATACTGGGCTGGGTGTTTGAAATTTTTCGTCGGACTTTTTTTCTGAGAGCTTCAAGAGTACGCACGGGCCAAACTGACAGAAAGATTGTGGGGTCATCGAGGTGATTGGACAATGCGGAATTTCAGAGGAGCCGCCTTCCGGCAAGTTTTTTTTTTTTACGATTAGATAAGGAGGGACACAGGGTCCACCTGCAAAGTGGGGTCTCAGGTTCGGGGAGAGGCAGGAGCGTCAGAAACCAGGTGGTGGTGTCCAGTACCTGGCTTGCAACGGAATTGAAGAACACCTCAAAATATCATCCTTTCCATTTGTCCCAACTCCCCAAGCCGCAATCTCATTCCAGAAAAACCAAACGAAACACCAGACTGTTCATCAGTTCATCGGAATAATCGTGAGTCTCATCAGATTTCCCATTGCGATTTTTTCCCCGGCCAAAGCTGGAAGAAATCGCCCATTTACCCCATAGGGTTGCGGAACCCTAAGGCCGACCCCCCTGCCGTTTCCCGATCCGCAAGCGAGCCAACCCGGCGCAGGAGGGCTAGGGTCAACGAAAGTTGTGAATTTCTTCTAACCTCACTCTGACAGCCAGCCCACGACCGACCACCGACCGACCACCGAAACCATCACCACACCCAACGATTAAGATGGTAAGTCGCACCGCTGCTCGCTTTCCCTATGTCCCGCGTCGACGAGGAAGAGGAGGAAATCTGTGCAATCGACGAAATTTCGACCCTGTTTGCAGCCGCCGAGACGATCCCCTTGCCCCTCGTCGAAAGAGGGTCGAAATTTCACGATGTCAAAGGAAGAGAAAAAACTGGACTTGTGACTCAATTATGTCATTCATGATGGTCGACCAAGAGGAGGAATAAGGAACATGCGGAACACATGGCGACACACAATGCTCGTTATATCCCAGAACCCAAAAGACTGACCCTTATCGTCACAAATTCAGGTTCGCTACGCCGCTCAAGAGATCGCCCCCGCGAAGTCGGCCCGCGCGCGCGGTGCCTACCTCCGTGTGTCCTTCAAGAACACCCGTGAGACCGCCCAGGCCATCAACGGCTGGAAGCTCCAGCGCGCCGTTACCTTCCTCGAGAACGTCTCCGAGAAGAAGGAGGCCGTCCCCTTCCGCCGCTACGCCGGCTCCATCGGCCGCACCGCCCAGGGCAAGGCCTTCGGCGTCACCAAGGCCCGCTGGCCCGTCAAGTCCGCCGAGTTCCTCCTCGGCCTCCTCAAGAACGCCGAGTCCAACGCCGACGCCAAGGGCCTCGACACCGGCAACCTCGTCGTCAAGCACATCCAGGTCAACCAGGCCCCCAAGCAACGGAGACGCACATACCGTGCCCACGGTCGCGTATGTTTTATCACCCGAGTCTATCCTCTTCGAAGGAGAAAGATAGAGACCAGCAGCAGAAAGTGGACGAACTAACCCATGCCACAGATTAACCCCTACATGTCCAACCCCTGCCACATCGAGCTCATCCTCACCGAGGGCGAGGAGGTCGTCCAGAAGTCCGAGGCTGTCGCCGGTCGCGAGGACGTCCGCCTCAACTCCCGCCAGCGCGGTGCCCGCACCCGCCAGGCCATCACCGCCGCATAAACGAACTTTCCAACTCTTTAATCTTTTAAGAAACGGATCTTCGATTTTTGTGGCGTGTGTGCGGTTCATGACGTGAGCAAAAAGGGTCGGCGCGAAGTGTGGACAAGCGCGGTACACCACAACAACCCCCCTGGGATGGATTTGGTCTTTGGGTCGTGGATGGATGCGTGGATTCAAATACAAAAAAGAACTTCGCGGCTTTTCATATGCTGGTGTACAGGAAGGCCATGGTCTCATGGCATTTAGGGATTGGCATGCGAATTCACACGCGCAACGGTCTGCATGGGCCACCAATAAACAAACATGCAACAATGATTCCCCCATGGCGGTCCCTAGTTTACCATGATCGGCATCGGCATCGGCGTCAAACGGTTACGAGGAAATGCATTCAATTTTGGCTTGCTTCTGCATCAAATTACTACAATGTCGCGCCCTCTGTGATCAGTATGGAGTATTACGCTGCCCAACTCTTCGAGTCTTGGGGTTGTAATTCCTACTATGGTCGGCCTGAAGAACAGTCATGTTCTCTGAATGCAACGTAAGAGACGCATTTCAGCCCGGCTTACAGGTAATGATGACGATGATTGTGTTATCAACTTTTGATGTCTTCCTACTATAAGGTAAGGTGACTACGGAGTTATGGGTCCCTCATCCAGTCATTATCCCGCCCGCCTTTCCGTCCCAATTTTGAGCCCGTGGTATCTTTTGCCAAAAACGCCGAAAAATCAAAAGACTCCCGCAGCCCACCCAAATCCCAATCATTATACAGTTTTCATCGTAATCAAGCGGTGCAGCTTAAACCTGCTCAGCCATCTTGGTAATCATGCCCGTGATTCGTCCTCTTCCAGGGTGAACGATGCCATCCCTCTTTGCAGCTTCAATAACCTCCTCGTCGTACACACCGGTCCACTCCGTGTCCATACCAAAGGCGGTCGAGAGGTTAAAGTGCTCCTGGTTGCCGATGTAATTGGTGATCTTAGCCGCTAGCCTGTCGCCGCAAGACTGCATGAAGGGCATGAGCTCCCGGCGACGCGCAGTCACTTCCGCAGGCTCTTGCCACGGGGAGGTGGTTGGCATGATGCTATGATTGTCAACCATCGGGATGTCCAGGACCACGTAGCCGCAGGACTTGAGCGAGATGTGGTGGATACTGAGCAGCTCCTTCTCCCTGACGAGACTGTGCGGCCGCGGCAAAAGCGAGAATCCGTCATCTTTCCGTACAAAATCGTCCACCCAATCCTCTTCGTCATCCTGGGTACCTTGACCGACCATGATCTCTTGAATCGGTGGAGTCGGTGCGAGACGTTCAATGATGCCAGCCCAAGACAGCAGTCGAGGCTGTCTTAGTCGCATCCTACCCCAGCTGGCCATTGGATCAGGTGGAGGCGGAGGCGGCACCGCGTTGTTCGCCACATTGGCGATTTGCGGAAGAGGTTGCTGCATCATTATGCCAGCCAGATGCGCCGGCAAGATGCCAGGAGCATGCAGCGGGCCCTGAGGGATCACCACTCCGGCCGGAACCCCTGGCGCACCCCCGAAGCCCGGGTTAGCTTGCGGTTGAAGAGGTGCCGGCGGCAACGGAGG